TTGTCCGGTCCAGGCTTGACTACGGCTGTCAAGTCTACGGATCGGCAAAACCACACATCCTGAAAATGCTAGACCCAGTACAAAACCAAGGACTCCTCCTCGCTTTGGGAGCTTTCCGCACTTCCCCGGTGGAGAGCCTCCAGGCCGAGGCAAACATGCCACCACTCTCACTCAGACGCACACAACTCTCACTACAATACGCAATTAAACAGAGCTCAGCACAGGAAAGTCCAGCGAATAACTGCATTTTTAAAACAAACCCAGAAACCATAAACAAATTCCAAAACAACGAAAAACTCATCAAACCCTTCGGCCTCAGAATCCTTGAGGACCTCAAAAACTTACACTTTTCCAGACAAGACATCCAACAAATTCTTTTCCCCGACCTCCCTCCGTGGCACCTCACCAAGGCAAAAGTAGACTTACAGCTGACCACACACAACAAAGAAAGCACAAACACCAAAACTTTTAAAGCAGAATACAAAAAACTAATAGATAAATACCCCGGTTCGGAGCTCATCTTCACGGATGGCTCCAAAAAAGACAATGAAGTGGGCGCCGCAGCCCTATCTCCCAACAGTACACACCAGAGGAGACCCCATCCTGAAGCCTCCATTTTCTCTGCGGAGGCCACTGCCATTGACATGGCACTGGACTCCGTAGAAAATTCTCCAAACAAATCTTTCCGAATCCTTTCTGACTCTCTGTCTTGCATCACATCACTCACAAACTACACACTCCTACACCCAAAAATAGTTAGGCTACAACAGAAAATTCATACACTATCTGAAACAGGAAAAAACGTCATGTTCGCGTGGATACCTAGCCATGTGGGCATCTGAGGAAATGAGCAGGTAGACGACCTGGCGAAGAAAGCCTCATCCCTTCTGTTGGGATCAACGACAAACACTCTCCCACAGACTGACTTAAGAAATAAAGTAAAAAAGTACACCTCCAATCTGTGGGAGAGCCACTGGGAAAAACAGGAAAATAATAAGCTATATATTATAAAACCCAAACTGAAACAGCGAAATCCTTCGGACCTCTCCAGAAGAGACGAAGTCATTTTTACTCGATTGCGCATGGACACTCGGCCCTGACCCACAAATACCTCCTACTGGGAGATGAGAAGCCGTTCTGTGTCGGATGCGACACAGATTTTACCATTAGACACATCGTAACCGAATGTCTAGACTTTGGAGAGATCCGAAGGAAATATTATAAATGCAAGAAATTGCAAGACATTTTTTACGTGTTGGTCCCAGCAGAATTTTAAATTTTATGAAGGCCATTGGCCTTTATGGCAAATTATAAAGTGAAACAATATTGTTAAAAAGATTTTTATTGTTATTTATAAGAGTTGTTTTAAATTGTAAACATATTTAAGATTTCCACTGAATTTTAGTATTTTAGCATTTTAAAGTCTAATTGTCGACCAACCGTGCAGTGAACTGTTGCGAATGCTACCAACTTGTGTTTCGCGCGCTCACATTACCTTATGCAGTTGCGAGCGCCGTAAAACCCTATACTAATACTAAACTAAAACTAACAGGAAGTCTATTCTATTATTTTGAAAACTTGGATCCGCCGAGAATTTCATTACTGGATTGGAATAGATAGCGAGCCACTGGAGCCGTATTTTGCGGCTCTCGGTCCAGCGAGGCCAGGCCCACAAGCCGCAAAATGCGGCTCGCGGTAGGGAAAGTGTTAAAGAAGGAAGTGATTATTCACACCGGGTGTTCGCATAAAAATTAATATTATTCACACCGGGTGTGCGAATAAGAAATAATTTTATTCGCACAAGGTCGAGCCTACGTTGATTTTGGACCTTGTTTGTCATACCCGGGTATCCCACCTTTTGGCAAAGGCTTTAAATGTTAAAACAACTGGACACTAGATCTAGATCTAGTATAACTTGTTTCAGATTTAGGGTTAAAGTAAGCATGTACTCATCTCTCTCTCTCTCTCTCTCTCTCTCTCTCTCTCTCTCTCTCTCTCTCTCTATCTCTCTCTATCTCTCTCTCACTCTCTCTCACTCTCTCTCTCTAGGGCAGGGAAAACAGAAAAAAAGAGAGATTTGAGTCTTATCATTGACACAATACACAACTTGAATTCCAATTTGAGTTGGGGTTTTTTGTATCGCGCATTGCACAATTAGAATTAGATCTAGATCTATCCCTACCAAAGATAGATAACAAGATTGTTCACTCAGTCCAAAAAGTGTTCTCAGAAGTCAGCGCATTGCTTCAGGTGACGCTGGAGTCTTTGTTTTGAAGCTCTTTCCTTTCTCCAGAAGAAGAATAGGATAAGCACAGTCTGTTAATTTCACTTTTATTGTTTTTCACACGTCCAAGTAGGGTCTGTTTGCAAAGTCCACACTTTTTCGAAGAGGGCGCCACCAAAATTCTGAGAGCACTTTTTTATTTGGCTCAAAAAGAGGAGCCAACTATCTTGTGATCCGTGATCTTTGTCCCTACGCAGAAGAGGATGGAAAAAGGAAAAATGAGGAAATGCTAGATCTAGATAATTTCCATCCTTCTTTTGAAACGCCCTGTGCCAATAATAATATTTTGTAGTACTCACACAGCCTGTGCGAATATTTTCATAGTATTCACACACCCTGTGCGAATAAAATTTCACAATATTCACACAGTATTTACACACCCTGTGCGAATAAAATTTCATAGTATTTGCACACCCTGTGCGAATACAATTCCATAGTATTCACACACCCAGTGCGAATAACTACAGCCTTTAAAGAAACTGAACGAGGGGCAAAAACTTATAACAATTTTCTCAAAACAGCATTTTTCGGGAATAACCCCCTTGTGCTTAAAAGCGAACAATCAGTTATTACACTCTGATGCTGTATTCTTTCTCATTTTCAATGAGCTCCCATTCCTGACAAAATTAGGCCTTTGTCCTTCTGATATGCCCTTTTAAACAGTTATCTACCTTTCAAGACTGACAGTTTTCACGGGGTTCCCACTTAAATGGGAAAACGGGGAAAAGCCAGGAATTTCATTATCAGATTTCCAGGTCGGAAAAACACAATGAAAGTGAATAAAAGCGAAAATGTATGGGAGAAAGTCCGGAAATCAAAGGGTTGCCTATCATCATTATGAATTTGGTGGAATCATTAACCCATTGCCGCCTCATCCCGCCGATAGGGATTGTTTACCACACAGTATTTTTTACTAGATTTTCCCCTAAATATGATGGCAAAGTGTTAAGGTTAGAAAAAATTTTTATCAACAATTTTATGAAAATACTATGTTAACACCTTACCCCTGATTCTGACTTTTGAAAGTTATTTACAGTTGTTCTGCAACCCCAACCCATCCCCACCTTCCAGTGCATAAGTTAGGGAAATGTTCAAACCCAGACAGTCTATATCACAGTGTCACATGCAGCTGTCTAACTTCTACATCCTCTGTGCACGCACAGAGCATTTGTGTCACGACGTGGTGGAATCAGGCGCTCAGCAATTTTGGCCATGTGGAGTTATTGGTATCGACATAAAGCTTATTTATTTGCCTTTCTTACAATGAAATGAATATCCATATACATAATAATAATAATAATAATGAAGATCATTTCTATAGCGCCCACTCCCGTGTAAACACAGCTCTAGGCGCTTTACATAAATGCATGTAAGAAAAATATTAATGCACGCGACACACACACACTCACACACACACACTCATATACACACAAACACACACACATATACACATACACACACACAAACACACGCATACACACTTACGAACACATAACACACACACATGTGCACACACATGTATGCCAAACACACACACACACTCACACACACACACACACACACGTACACACACACACACACACACACATCTACTTGCTTATCACACGCACACGATTACACATCGTCACGAAATGAGAATAAAATAATTTATACACTGCAATTGACAAAATACATAAATGGATACATAGACATTTACATAACATTGTATTGAACATGAATCTACTGACTTTAAAAAAAAAAAAAATTGATTTCTGTATTTTGACGAGCACCTGATTTCACCACGCTGCCTTTCATTTGTAGTCGCTGTGGGCCACTTTGCCTTTACAAAAACATTAGCCAGGTTGAGTAAGGCCAACATGAGTTTGACAAGGCGTTAACCCTATCCGTACGCTTGGGGTCATTTTGTACCCCAGGGGTTGTATTCTTCACATTTTAGAATGCTTCTAGTACGAAGATCTCTTTGAAACTTTCAGTATTTTTCAAAAACTCATTTTGGCGGACTGCTATGCAAAACGTATGGATCGGATTAATGAGTAAATTTCCTCTTTGGAAAGTGGTGGCACAGAGTTCCCCACGCCGTATGGATACAATAGTAAAACGCGACGGATGGATAGGGTTAAGTGGTGGCACAGAGTTCCCCACGTCGTGTGGATACGATAGTAAAAAAAACTGGGTTATGACCCAGGCCAACGAGAGTATTTTTTGAAATTAGTAAGACTGGATCAAGTTTGAAACTTGAAACAATCAACTGTGGTGAGCAACATGGTGTGTAGTGACGTGGCCCATCAGTTTAGTTTGTTTTTGCAAGCGCCAAGCCAATAGCCTATAAGTATCATTCCTTCCTCCCCCCCCCCCCCTCCTGCACCCTTTTTCTTAACTCAACAACGATGGGCCTTCCGAGACCTTTGTTGAAGTTGCAGTAATCCTACAATTCCAGTCCTAGACACCCCAGGAAAAGGGACTGCCCATTGCCATGTTACAATTTTTATTTTGCCTTTGTTTTCATTTCTTCATCCTTAATTTTAAAAAGTTCACTTTGAAAATGGTTACAAAACCCTGGAGAAAACCAGGAAAAAAAACCTGGAAATTGTTTCGCCTTGATGAGTTGGAACCTTAATTTTCTTATTACCAGAAATTAGCGTTTTGTACTATATTTTTGTGGGCAAAGGAAATCTCTGTTTTTGTTTATTTTAGAAATGTTTTTCTTCAATCTTAGATCTCAATGGCTTCGGATATGACATCGTTTGACCTTCTACTCATTGGCAACACAGGCCATGGGAAAAGTTCAACGGGCAACTCTATTCTTGGACTTCCAGAATTTCAGACGTCGTCATCAGCACGGACAACTACTCTCACCCCTGAGTTAGGGTGTTCGAAACGTTACAACAACCGTACGGTCAGGGTCGTTGACACACCGGGGTTGTGCGACTCCCAGTGGAGCAGCAAACAGGCAGTGGGGGAGTGCTCTCGCGTCATGGCTAAATCACTGTCACTGTGCCCGGGAGGCTTCCATGCTCTCCTTATTGTACTTAAGTACGGGCAGAGACACGTTGCGGAGGAGCTAGAGGTTCTAAAAGACATGTTTGGCAGGGATGTATTGAAAAGCCATGGTATTTGTGTGATTACCCATGCTGACCTGTCACAAAAAAATGTGAAAATTGAAGAAACTTTGGATGTAACATCTGCCGAGTGGTGGCAGAAACGAGATGGCCAACTTGCCAATTTGGTTAGGGAGTGCAACTCAAGATTGGTTTTATTTAACAATCGGTCAGAGGTGGAAAGTGAAAAGAGGGAGCAAGTGGAAAAACTACTCCAGCTTGTAAAGGCACTCCCTGAAAGTGGAAAGACATTCCCTTCCCCTCATGTTTTCTCCATGAAGGGAAGCTGCCAAATTGTGATGGAAAAATTCAAGTTATCATGGCCAAGAGAAGAAATTTTTTTTATTCATTTCAAGACGCTGAAAGAGCAAAATGTATACATTATCGTCTTGTATGTTGTAAGATTAGTGTTAATGTACATTGTCTTTTGTGCTTTTTTCCTGAATTTTTGGCTTTATTTCCTAAAGGAGAAGGAGGTATACACTGTGTTTGAAAGTGATGTCCTTGTTGTCGTGCTGTCCAACAATATTGTACTGGAAAACACCAAAAAGAGTTTCCACTGGTCAATGAATAACTGTAAAGTGGACAACAGTTCGATTGTCACCCAGGTTGAAAATTGTGAGCACACACAAAGAAAAATAGAAGGCATAAGAATTTGGTTAAATGCATTTCAGAAACCTTACGGATGCACCAAAAGGGAAGGTGCAAAGTCCTCAAGGAAGCTGAATATTTCTCGAAATAGGCATAGCGGTAATAGTATCAATGAAAATAGTTCTAGACTGGGAATAAATATGAGGAGGAACAGAAAGTCCTGTGATGTGTATTTACACGTTCAAGTTAAAATTGCTGGTACTTCCAAGAGCAAAAGTTCTGTCAATGAAGTCAAATCATTGGAGGAGAAAGAGAAGAAAAAGAACCTGCTCAATATATTTGAAACAGAACACATGGTTACATGGCGAAGTCGGCTGCATTTGAATGAAGCATTTGTGTTCCCGAGCCATCCGCAAACTAGGAATGAGCGTACTAATGAGGAGGGAAGGGAACAGGAAGTCCCAGGCCAGAGTGAAGCTCCGGCATCATCTCATGAGGAAAGCAGCTTCAGAAGAATGAGGTATGAAATGCTTCGACTGACGTCTTTCCGGCACCTACATTTCCCCATGGAAGCGTTTGTCTGGGCACCTCGTCTTGCTGCCAGTGGATTCTACTTTGAAAGTGGTCGTAGCATGATACTTTGCTTCTACTGTGGCCGAAATTTCAATCCGCACACAGACTCTGTGGACACGGCACATGACCCGCGCTGTATGTGGCGGGAGCACAACGTCAGCTTCAGCGAAGGAACGAGAGCGATTCCAGAAGAAAGTTTGTCTTCGCCCTCCAGTGTCTCGGGGCATGTTGATGGCCACAACCACCTTCAAGTCCCAGAGCCCCCTGCTCCGTCTTCCCTGGCACCTTCCAGTGGATATGGATCAGCGGCAAGCTGGCAGTTCTCTCTCTCCGGGGGTTCTCAAGACCAGCCTCCACCCTCCTCTGGCTTTGCTGAAACCATGTCAACTGAGACGTTCAAGACCGAAATCAACAGTTATGAACCGCCGTTGAAGAGCTCTGACCTCTCTAGTAGCCCTAGCTCCAATGCTATGTTTGGCTCCTTCCACAGCCTCCCGCCAAACCTGAACACAGTCTCCGGTGCTGCGGTGAGCGAGGAAAGCAAAGATGATGCCACCTCAAGGCTACTGACCTCGGGGACCAGAGAGCCAGTGGACATGAAGAGGTTCCCTCGCAGAAACAGCCTCGTCTCTCAGGACACAGCCAACAGGCAACAGCCTCAGGAGGGTGCAATGGGAGGAAGAGACACCCCACACTTGGATCTCCGAGCGGTTTCTTATCCCCAGTTTGCGACAGCTCATGCTCGCAGGTCGACTTTCTCTGAGTGGAGTCCAGACCATCCGTTGCGTCCTGAGGATTTAGTTGCTGGAGGTTTCTTTTATGCAGGTTAGTGTAGTGCAGAGAAATGAATTTAATCTCTTTTTAAAACTTTTACTAAATGTCACCCTCATTCTTTGTTCAATTTAGTTTTTAAATATTTCTTTAGGAATGGTTGGAATAATTCTTTGGAGGATAAATATAATATGTTTTTTGCATGTTTAGTAAAAGTAAATAGACTCCTCAAGTCTGACTGTTTTCGTGTTGCTTGTTTTTTCCTTCTGGAGCTGGGTGGGGGTTGCCACTGAATACTGTATCATTCCAGAATTCGCTTTACCTTAATTTCTACAGTTCAATTTCCACATTTCAGTACTTGGCTATCTGCAGGGATAGAATTGTGTGAGACGAACTGACAAAATAAGTTACTTCTTGACTTCTTGGATTTTAGTCCTATGGAAATAGATATGTCAGGTTTATAAGTGGAGTTTGTACAATATAATAGTATGAAATAATTAAAGACATGGGCTGTTTAAGCTTGAAGAAAATCGCATCAGTTGATAATGTACCTATTTGACCCCAGTGTCAATTTTCAGCCAGCGATTGCGAGAAGTAAATTATTTTGTCAGCACACCCCATGTGTATTATCTGATTGATAGTTTTTGAACAGCCGGCGGGCAGTCACACTGTATCTCCCTTGGGGAATCGAGATTGGAAATTGAAAAGAATGGGTTAGCTCAGAGAGTTATTGTAGATTGATGCGAACCCTTGAGGTTGGCCCAAATTAGAGTCGAGTAAATTGTCTGATTGGCCAGATATGGGATTGACTAGAAGATAGCTTTTTAGATATAACTGTTAAGCTGAGCCCGGGCTTTGCACTTTGCAGCTGTTGTGGCATATTATGGTACAGAAACTTGATCTTTCTCAGGGAAAATTGAGGTTCAAAATCCAGGTTGGGTCTGATAAATTTGTTGTCCTTCCTGGAATATTTGATCTTGTGTTCACTTTGTTTTGACAGAGGACTAGGCGCTTTTCCTTCGAAATGAGTGCACTGTCTAGTGTGCCGTTTTAACTTCCAACTGGTTTTCCATTACCGGTTCCACAAATAATACTGCATTAATCTATAATTCAGATGTGATTCAGTGGGTGGTTGGCGGGTGCTCTGGTGTGGTTTGCTTCTTCTTTCCTATCAAACATCTATCATCCTTATCTCCCCTTCTTCTTTTTTATGTTTGTTACTCTCTTGTAACAGCTCTAATCTTCTGACGCTCATATGACCTTATGCAGTTGCGAGCGCCATAAAAACCTCTACTAAACTAAAAAATAATACTACATTAATCTATAATTCTGATGTGATCCTCATTACGACCGCATTGTGACTTTCTTGAGCTTCTGTATTGGGAGTTTTAAAGTTTCTCTGCTCTCTTGGCTTTGTTGTATTATAAGTCTTACAGAGCCTTAAGGGATTTGGCTCAGTCCTTTCAGAAGTGTAGATATTGAATTCTGAAGGTCCTGCCTGTTTATAATAACAGTTATCTTGTCATTTTTGGGATGTTGAACTCATGTGATACTATATTATTCAAAAGTCAATTGTCTTTAACTTTGTTGTAAAAAAAATATATATATATTTGGCTGTCAGGGTACCGCGACTGCGTGCGCTGCTTTTGCTGTGGCTTGGGCCTGAAGTACTGGCGGAGCACGGATGTTCCCGCCTACCAGCATGCTCGTTTCCGGCCTCACTGCGTCTTCAACAGAATTGTCAACGGTCAGAGCTACGTGGACAAGGTGCAGCGAGATTTTGGAGGCGCCGGGCCTCGCGGTGTTCAGGCTGCTCCCAGAATTCATGTAAGTTCATAACAAACTGGATGAAAGTGACAATTCTGGTGGGGTTTAACACTTACTTACACTTACAGTACCATCGGTGACTTCAGTCACCTGGCCGTAGTATGCGCCCTTTTACCTCTGGCAACTTTTGTCGCTACCGCAACCTGGCACACTAGACATTGTTAACAACGAATGGGCGCACTGTACTGGAGTAAATACTAAAGGAAGTCACTCTACGTACTCTACGTGATAGCTGAATGGTTGATGAACCTCTGTGCAGGGTTGGTGATTTTTTATATTTTTTAAATAAAAATTTAAAAAATCGATTTTTAAAATTTAAATCAGATTTTTTTTTTTATCTTAAAAAAAATGTCGACTCAGTTTGGGATTTTTGGGGGCTAAAAGTAAGTTCTTTTAGTGCAAAATGCATTGTCTTTATTTTAACTAATGATTAATTTAAGCAACTGCAATTTTAGAAAGCCTTAATCTGCTATATCCAGTGAATTATGGCTACAGACAAAAAATGAAGAAAATATCAGTCTAAAAGGAAGGGGGGGGGGGGGTAATTATGCATAGATAAACTTTCATTTTATTACAGTGTGTGTGCGCGCTTGTGTTTGTCTAAAAAGAAAAAGAAAATGCTAATTTCAATTATGAAAAAAAAGTAAATTGAATACAGTTATTATTTTACTACTTACAGTGACAGGGGTGAAAGCAGACTTTTAAGCATGATTATTTTAGTCTACTAAACCGTATATCTGTTTTATAAAACCAAGGAAAGGAATTTCGAATGTTTAAAGATGTAAAAACAGAATACATTTTGTTAAAGTGATTTAAATCACTGAGTTTTATATTTTAAATCAAGTTGATTAAAAAAATTTTTAAATCAACCCAACCCTGGTTTTTAATTATGAAAAAAAAGTAAATTGAGAACTGTATTATTTTACAGTGACATGGGGGAAAGCAGACTTTTAAGCATGATTATATTAGTCTACTAAACCTTATATGTCTGTTTAATAAAACCAAGGAAAGGAATTCTGAATGTTTTGAATATTTAAAAACTGAATACATTTTTTGAAAAGTGATTTAAATCACTGATTTTTATTTTAAAATCAAGTTGATTAAAATTTTAAAAATCAACTGATTTAAATCAACCCAGCTCTGATTTCAATTATGAAAAAAAAAAGTAAATTGAATACTGTATTATTTTACAGTGAAAGGAGGGAAAGCAGACTTTGAAGCATTATTATATTAGTCTACTAAACCTTATATCTGTTTTATGAAACCAAGGAAAGGAATTCTGAATGTTGAAATGTGTAAAAACTGAATAAAAATAAATTTTTTGAAAAGTGATTTAAATCACTGATTTTTATTTTAAAAATCAAGTTGATTTAAATTTAAAAAATCAACTGATTTAAATCAACCCAACCCTGCCTCTGTGAACTTTTATAACCTGTTTCTTGGGCTGCCAAAGTTTTTTTTGAGTAAAAAGATTATACCATGGCTTCAGCGTTCTAAACTGGTGCGGTACATGAGGATTTTTTACTATATGAATGAACCTTCGGTACCGTAGTTGTAGGTATTAAACCTCTCTCTGTCAAGTTTAGTATCTCCTTGCTGTCTGATTATGGGTTCTGTGCCAGGTTATATTACATGGAAAACTCAAAGCCAAAGTCTCTCAATGGCAAATCCTCTCTTGGTTTTGTTTCAGATTTGATTGATCGATTTGCCAAGAAAAATTGCTTGTGTGTCTATAAGTGGGAGAAATGTTCACCAGATATGGAACCTTATGGAATCTTCCAACTGTACTGAACTATTCCTCTCCTAGAGTGTACTGGTGACTCTGTGGTTTTGCCTGTTTTTGTAGGTGATAGAATTTCATTACCCCCGGGACAGTGCCACTGACTGAAGTGTCTTTAGGCCATTCCCAAAGGGGGGACATTTCTCGTTCAAGCACAGCAGAATTGTAAATGGGCTGATTCGTCATGTCACGCTCATAACTGTGCCTCATCTACAACAGGAAACTGCTGCTTTTTCTTTCCTAATCCTTACTATTGTCGTTTTCCTCTACTTCTTTTGTGTTTGTCACTCTCTTGTGACCTGCTTTTTCCCAGGGTGCCTTGATAGTCGAAGCAGACCTTGTGCTGTTGAAACTAGAGAGGTGAGCAGCATAAGTTGATTCCCTGTAAAGACTTCTCTTCTTCCCCTTGGCGCTCATATGACCTTATGCAGTTGCGAGCGCCGTAAAACCCTCTACTAAAACTAACTAACTAAAAGAATTTCATCATGTGCTGTTACATCTCCAGAAATTTTGGAAAAGGACGAAACCTTTTCAGATTTTCATGCAGCAAAAATTACAAATTTTCAGTGGGTCAACAAAACTAGTGAGTTTGAAAAGCCTTTCATAGCAGGACCTTTTCTTGTCTTGTATTTTTTTTAAAAGACCAAATTAATACTGCGTACTTAATTTTTTTATCCTGAAAGTTGGCTGGATGTCTTTTCTAATTATGAATAATGATTAACCAGTTGTCTATAAATAGAGAGGAGTTTAGAAATTAAACACTTTGCATAACTAAAAAGTAGCAAAAGTGCTGTAAAATAGGAAATGAGGAGATCTGTTCTGCAGGCCAAAAAAAACCCCCACGCAATACTGACTGTTTTTCATGAAACGTTATCCGTTATTGCCAAGAATATTTTTTACTTCTCATCCCTTGTACTGTCAGTGGAGAATGTTTCGAGTTCTGAGCTTGTGCCCAGCCCAGATAATGAGATGATTTTTTTTTTCTTTTTCAGGAGGGAAGCAATTCAAGCACAGGTACCTCCGAGCAAAGTAAGTTTGTTTTTTACTTGGTGAAAAAAATGTTTCCATCCTTCTGCGTGGGCATGCATATCTCACATCTCAAGGGTTGACCTTGTGGGCAGGGTTGAAGTGCCAGCCCCTCCCTCCCTCCCCCCCCCTCTTTCCAAATGATCTAAATTGTGTCAGAGGCAATGTGAAACATTTCCATTGTTGTCTATCCTGCAGTTTTTGCGCTCAGTTTGTGTAGCGCAGTTAGTTGATTAGGTTCTTGACTAACAAGTGAAAGTTTGGGAGGTTTTCGTCCAAGGAGGTTCAAATGTTTTTCCACCTTTCTGAAGTAGTTCCTAGCTAGAGGTACAGATTTTTCGTGCCAATTTGGAATTCCTGGTTTTTGAAATTGTCTGGACTTGACTGATCGACTGAAAATAGTCTTGATACAACGAGATATTTTAGACCAAATGATTTGTAAGTCTGAGTCCACGTGTATGTATTCCTTTGGATTACAAAAAGTGCAGTTTGCTTTCGTAGCCAGTTGGCAGCTCTGACTTCCTCTCAGCTTAAGGCCAAGTCCCGGGATCGTGTGCTTCCCTAATTCGAGAAGACATTTTTGTCGAGTACGGCATGTTAATGAACAGTGTCGAGGTCCCCAGCATTTTCAACACCTTATGGGTCTTCTCTTGAAGTCAAAGACTTAGTTGTAGCGTGTGTTTCTACCAATTATACAGTAGGGAACCGCCTGTGGTGGTGGTTGTGGTGGTGGTGTAGGTGGTGGTGGTGGTTGTGATGGTGTAGGTGGTTGTAGTGGTGGTGGTGTAGGTGGTGGTGGCGGTGGGGGTGATGGTGGTGGTGGTAGCAGTGGTGTAGGTGGTGGTGGCGGTGGGGGTCAGGTGACTGCTGTGGACCTACGGGCTGCAGCACAGTCAGGGAGTGGGGAGGGGGGGGGACTCTTGCTCAGGTTGTGCTGATTGAGTTCCTGCGTAAACCACATGGCACGGCTGTGTAAACGCACTCCTACTGATCTTTAGATGCGATTGGTCGCACCATCTGTCAGTGTAAAGGAAATAGGCAATTAAGTTGGTAGGCCGAAGGGCTAGAAATCACATAGCCACTAGTTTGGAAAAGTAAAGTAAAAGTAAAGGTAAAGTTTGTATCAGTAACCATACAGTCCATTTCGTTAAGTGACTTTTCAACCTTGTATATATAGTTCCCGGCAAGGTCAGCTTTTTTGGAATCACTTCTTTCCCCGTTCTCCCACACATCCTTCATTCTATGGCCTGTTTATCTGTCTGTGTACAGGGACCCACCGGTCCAGACAGGTAGACTGCCGGTCCTCCCTCCGTAAGAGCCCACCTTGAATGAGATCACGCTGCTGTTGGCGATTTTGATTATCGGCTGGTCTGTGACTGGTCGTGTGGGGGCCTGCAGAGCCGGCAGGGCTCAGACCAGAACCACAAGCCCTCCGCTTCCTCTGTAGATTGTGGTAGGGGCATGCACGGGACGAGCCGTGTACCCGTTTCCCACGAGAACGGCCCTTCCCGTTGCTGCACGGCCACTACACTACTGGCCGATACCGAGAAGTGATACCGCTCGTTAGCTTGACATAACGAGTAACGAGAGTGAGAGAATGAGAGACTTCGACAGAAAGAGCGGCACAGCCAGTAAGAAATGACACGAAGACAGTGCCACCCATCACTGTGTCGGAAACTGAAAGGGAGGGGAGAGGGTGGCGGGGCGAGACGCGAGAAATAGGTCAGCTTCCCGGCCTGCCCACTCAGAAAGAAAAAAGTGCTTCCCGTCCGTCTTTAGAATGTGGAGAGTGTGTGATGACAAGGTGTAAGTGCCGATTTCTTATCTTCTGAAGAGACAACATGACGTCACCTGGAATCAGGGTGTGTAATAGACCAAACTGTGTGACCCAATCACGTGCTTTGGAAGTAGCCTCCACGTCAATGATCGTATGCCATGCCGTGCAGTCAAAACCTCAACGTGCTTGTCAAAGCCGCTCAGAGTGTTTAAAAACCTCAAGGTGCTTGTCAAAACCTCAACGTGCTTGTCAAAGCCTCAACTTGCTTTTCAAAACCTCAAAGTGCTTGACAAAACTTCAATGTGCTTGTCAAAGCCTCAAAGTGTGTGTCAAAACTTCAACGTGCTTGTGAAAGCCTCAAAGTGTGTGTCAAAACTTCAACGTGCTTGTCAAAGCCTCAAAGTGTGTGTCAAAACTTCAACGTGTGTGTCACAACCTCAAGGTGCTTGTCAAAACCTTAACGTACTTAACCAAATCTTAACATGATTCTCTGCTCGCAACCTGGCTTAACAGCAAGCTCTATATGCGATTTACAATCCAAATGTGTCTAGACGCAGTAGAATCAGGCGCTCATCAATTTTGGACGTCTGGAGTTATTGTTATCATCTTAAAGCTTGTTCATTTGACCATCTTGTGATGAAAAAAATACACGCCTGTCTTGAATAGATGTCGAGATATTTGCCATTGAAGGAGGTCGGGGTTGCCTGGTTTCAGAGGTAAAATTAGCGTATTTTTTCCTCTACTGCTTTTGTATGTTTGTCACTCTCTTGTGAACTGCTATTTCCGGGGTGCCTTGATAGTCAAAGCAGACTTTATGCTGTTGAGGCTAGGGAGGTGAGCAGAGTAAGCCTGATTCCCCGTTTGGACTTTCCTTTTGACATCCACCTCTTGGCGCTCATATGACCTTATGCAGTTCCGAGCACCATAAAACCTTTCTAAAACTAACGAAACTAATACTTTGCAGGTGCCAGTGGTAGGTTTTATTTCATGTCTGCCCGTCTGTTTTTTGTCTGTATGTCTGAGCTTTCCCTTGCATGAGCACTGGCTGACTGTAGGTGGTTGGCTTTTTCTTTCATAACAAACTAATATTGTCTTTTTCTTTATATGTGAGGCGTCTTGGTGAAATCAGGCGCTCGTCAAAATAATAAAATGAAAGAAATCAGCATTTTTCTTGGATTTCAGCTTTTTTTTGGTTGAATTTTTTTGGGGGCTGAACACCTTGTATGTCCATTCAGAAACACCTTTTTGTGTGTGGATTTTAGGATTTTATGAGAAAATGTTGATTAAAGGCAGGAAAAATGTAAATTTGCAGTTTCCAAGGACTCTTGAGCTATAGCAGTCACCAAACTTTGGCAGCCATTTTCTTGGTAAATTTTCTTCTGAAAACCAGATGACCCCACCTCCTTCAATCCAAAATATCTCGACTTCTATTCAAGATAAATGAATATTTTTTTCATCGAAAGTAAGGCAAAGGAACAACCTTTAAAATGATACCAATAACCCCATATGCCCAAAAATTTACGAGCATCTGATTCCTCCGCGTTGTGATACATATCTTTTTCTCTTTAAGAAATATTCTCCTCTGCAAATGTATTGGTCATCATAAGACATCGATGCATGAACTGTTGCTGTTATTTTTATCATTATTATTTATATTTTATTATTATAATTATTTTAATTATATAATTATTAGTGGGTGGTTTGCGGGTGCTGTTGTGTGGTTTGCTCTTACTTTCCTATCAAACATATATTGGTGGGTGGTTGGCGGGTGCTCTGGTGTGGTTTGCTCCTTCTTTCCTATCAAACATCTATCGTCCTCATCTCCCCTTCTTCTTTTTTATGTTTGTTAGTCTCTTGTAACGCTTCTAATCTTCTTGCGCTCATATGACCTTATGCAGTTGCGAGTGCCGTAAAACTCTTACTAAAACTAACAAAGCCATATATTGACCTTTTCTCTCCCCCTTTTTTGTGTTTGTTACTCTCTCTCCCCTGTAACGCCTCTAATCTCCAGCACTTATATGACCTTATTGTGTTGCAAGTGTCCTAAAATTCATACTAAAACCTTTTTAAATTATTATTGTTATTTTATTATTATTATTATTAT